ATGTTTGTTTGTTTATTTGTATGTATGTATGTATGTTTGTATGATTGTATGTATGTATGTATTTAAGTTTGTATGTATATGTATGTGCGTGTTTGTGTATGTTTTGTATGTTATGATTGTATGTATGCGTGTGTGTTTGTATGTACGTATGTTTTGATGTATGTTCATATAAATGTTTGTATCGCATACTTACACTCATCTGATAGCATTCCACACTCTTCATTGGCATCGTCGTCATCGTCATCATCTTCGTCGTCATCATCATCAACATTATCATCATCATCGTTGTTGTTGACATTTTCACTTTTGTTGTTGTTGTTGTTGTTGTTGTTGTTGTTGTTGTTGTTTTCGTCAAGTTTGTTCATCTGACCAAATGTATTGAAACAATTTTTGACGTGATTTTTGTTTATGTTACCAATACCATTAATATTAATAATATTATTATTATCATTATATTTATTATTATTATTGTTTTTGTTATTATTTTTATTATTGTTGTTGTTGTTGTTGTTAACGGAATCGTCGCTAACATGATTACGGATGGAGACGATGTTGTTTGAATTGTTGTTGTTGTGCATGATTTTATTATTATTATTGTTATTACTATTGTTGTTATTGTTGTTGTTGTTATTATTATTAACAATTTGTTCTCTTTGCAAGCGTTGTAGCCGCTGGTGGTGTTCTTTGTCTGAATCAAATAATAATAATAAAACAACAACTATAATAATAATAATAGCAATAATAATAAAAACAACAATTAAACAACTTACTCATTTTCCTCCTCCACCCGATTACCGCCATCTTGCTCTCCATCCAACTCCACCATCCCTCCTTCCGTCCACTTCCGGTCGCCACTTCCGGTGCACGTGAAGTAGCCGGAAATGCGCGTGAACTACACGAAAGTGACGTCATCCTGGCGTGGAGTTACGTGTATATCCAGTTAAATTTTGTGTCTTTTTTTGCGTAGTATATCCTGTTTTGTTTTTTGTTTTATTTTCGATTTTCTTTTTTTTAGCGCTTCCTTTTTAATGTTTTTAATTTTTCTTTTTCCTGATACAAAGAAGAAAAAATTTATATCCGTGATTAAGTTTTTTTGGAGAAAAAAAAATTTATTTCTTTGTTTTGTTTTGAATCCTTGACAAAATTCAATTTTATGTGAGCTTTTCTATTTCTCCATTATCAACGATCATGATGATGATGGTGGTGGTCAAATAGAAGAAAAAGAAAAAAAAGAAGAAGAAGAAAATAAGGAAGAAGAAGAAGATGATGATGATTAGGACTACTATTTCATGAATTTATTGTAAGTACGTAGTTTTTACGCCAAGGGAAAAATATTGCCATCTGTCATTTTCCTCAATCCTCCACTTCCTTCTCTCAATCATCATCGTCATCTTCATCATCTTCATCATCAATACTACATCATCATCATCATCAACTTTGTC